CATTCCAGAATTTTTGGATGAGCAATTGGGAGGATGGAGAAGATGATAGGAGGAGCAGGTCTGGGGACAGGAGACAGAAGAAAGTCAGGAATTGCACTTTGGTTTTTTTTAATTTTTTTTTAATGTTTATTTATTTGAGAGAGAGAGAGAGAGAGACAGAGCACGAGCAGGGGAGGGGCAGAGAGAGAGGGAGACACAGAATCCGAAGCAGGCTCCAGGCTCTGAGCTGTCAGCACGGAGCCTGACACACGGCTCACACCTACAAACCACAAGATCGTGACCTGAGCCAAAGTCAGACGCTTAACCGACTGAGCCAGCCAGGCGCCCCAGGAATTGCACTTTGGATACAATAAGCCTGAGACAGATGCACATTAGATACTTGGGTGGAGCTGTGATCAGGCTGTTGGATGTGCTCTTCTGGATTTCACGTAGGACCAGGGGTATATTGTATATGTGACGTTTGATGCCCATGACTGGAGGAGATCACGAAATGGCAAGGGCTGACAGAGCAGTGATGAAGTCCAAGGGCTTAGTCCCAGGGCCTTGTGAAGCAGGAGGACCCATCCATTTCGTTCACATTTGTGTTCCCCAGGGCCTAAAACAGTGCCTGACACAAAGTAACTGCTAAGTCGGTATTTGTTGACCGGATAGCTGACAGAATGAATGAGCGATGCTAAGGGCTAAAAAGGAAATAAAACAGTGATGAGTTAAAGACTGCATGGGCGAGAATGGTCTACTTTATTTTTTATTGAAGTCTAGTTGACACAAAATGTTAATTAGCTTCAGGTGTACAACATAGTGACGTAACAACTCCGTAAATTATGCTATGGAGAGTGGTCTACTTTAGATAAGGTGGTCAGGGAGGACCTCTCTAAGAAGGTGACATTTGAGGGGAGCCTGGATGGTTCAGTCAAGCATCCGATTCTTGATTTTGGCTCAGGTCAGGATCTCATAGTTTGTGAGTTCAAACCCCATAACGGGCTCTGTGCTGACAGGGCATGGAGCCTGCTTGGTATTCTGTCTCCCTCTCTCTCTTCCCCTCCCCTGCTTGCTCTCTATATCTCTCTCAAAATAAATAAAAATAAGCTTAAAAAAAAAAAAGATGACATTTGAGCCAAGCCCTGAAGGACAAAGAGAAGTCAGTCACACAAAGAGTTGGAAGAGACATGGCAAGTGCAAAGGCCCTGAGGCAGGAGCAAATCTGGCCTGTTGGAGGATCAGTGTGCTTGAGGTACTGTGAGGCTGGATCATGCAGAAAATAGCAGGCCCAGAACCTGGACTTTGGATCACACCCTGGGTGTCCTGGAGGGTTTTAAACAGAGGATTTAAGTGATCAGATTAATATTTAAAATGAGCCCTCTGAGGCAAGTGGAGAATGTTCTATAGGGAGGTGGAAAGTAGGAGCAAGGAGAATGTTAGGAGAGATTTGGGCAGTGGCCGAGGCCAGAGATGGCAGGGCTTGCCTGGAGCTGGAACAGTGGGAAGTAAGAGGAATGGGCAAATTCAAGACATTTCAGGAACGGTATGGTAGGATTGGGGTTCAAGAGCCCCAGCTTGTTCAACCCATAGGACCCCATGGGACCAGGGGGGTTGCTTCTGGGGTCTTAGTCACCTAACTCCAGACTCCATGAGCTGCCCCATGCTGGAAAATGTGGAACATGGTGGGAAGGGGTACTGTGGTTGGCAGGGCCGTTCCATGCCAGGCTCTAGGCCAGGACTCTAAGGCAGCTAAGACCATGTCTGGCACTTGAAGAGGGTCCTTTCTCCCCTTTTCTCCATCAGATCTAGATTCATGATCTTTCCCCAAGCCTGGCCCTCCTCCAGTGCATTCTCTGTCCAAAATTCTTTGATACTCTTCCAATTGGGAGGTGGGATTATGTCCCTGTCTTTGAATGTGGGCCCTGGGACACTAATAGAATACAGCGGACATGATGTGCCAGGCTTTGGGCCCAGGCCTTAAGGAACTGGCAGCCTCTGCTTCCCATCTCTTGGGATGCCGCTTCTGGGAACCTAGCCACCATGCTGTGAGGAGGCCAAGTGGCCACATGGAGAGGTACATAGAGCTGTCCCAGCCAACACCCCTAGCTGAGGTTCCAGCTGACAGCCAGCATCAGCTGCCCCACTGAGTGAGCAGATGACTCCAGCCCCAGCCTGTAAGCCACTCCAACTGACAGCACTTTGGAGCAGAGGTGAGCTGTCCCTATTGAGCATGGCCTGAATTGTAGATCTGTGAGCAAAATAGATGATTATTGCTGTTTTAAGCCATTAATTTGGGGGTGGTTTATTATGTAGCAGCAGGTAGTTGGGACACTGTGCCTCACCTCTCCAGAGCCTATCCAGCACCAAACACCCCAGTCTTCCTCTAAACACCTCTCAAATCCATCATGTTCTATCTTCCCTGTCACCAGATTTGTCACCTGGACAATTACATTAACAACCTAATAGATCTTCTTCCACTCCCTCTTGCTACCACAGGGTCTGTTTCCTACACAGCAGCCCAAAGAACTTGCTGGAAAGCCCATCTATAGCCACCCGAAGCACTCAGTGGCCCTTCACTTTCCTAAGATCAAGATCTACTATCCCTTTCTCCTTTAGGCATCAGCCACACTGGTCTTCCTTTTTTTCTTCCAGTGTCCCATGTTCCCTTTGCCCCAGGGCCTTTGCACATGCTGCTCCCTGGCATGCCCTTCTCCACCCACCTAGTTAACTCTTGCTCATACCTTAGGTATCAGCTCAAACATCACCTCGTCCATGAACTGCCTCTAAGCTAGTGGTTCTCAAAATGGGATTCCTGACCAGCATCCTCAAGGAACTTCTTAGAAATGCCAATTCTTGGGGCACCTGGGTGGCTCAGTCGGTTAAGCGTCCGACTTCAGCTCAGGTCATGATCTTGCAGTTCGTGAGTTTGAGCCCCGTGTCGGGCTCTATGCTGACAGCTCAGAACCTGGAGCCTGCTCTTTTGATTCTGTGTCTCCCTCTCTGCCCCTCCCCCACTCACACTGTCTCTCTCCTTCAAAAATAAATAAACGTTAAAAAAAATTTTTAGGGGCGCCTGGGTGGCTCAGTCGGTTGAGCGTCTGACTTTGGCTCAGGTCATGATCTCACAGCTTGTGAGTTCGAGCCCCATGTCGGGCTCTGTGCTGACAGCTCAGAGCCTGGAGCCTGCTTCTGCTTCTGTGTCTCCCTCTCTCTCTGCCCCTAACCCACTCACATTCTGTCTCTGTCTCTCTCAAAAATAAATAAACATTAAAATTTTTTTTTTTTAAATAAAGAAATGCCAATTCTTAGGGGCACCTGGGTGGGTCATTCAGTTAACTGTCTGACTTCGGCTCAGGTCATGATCTCATGGTTCGTGAGCTGGAGGCCCGTGTTGGGCTCTGTGCTGACAAGTCAGAGCCTGGAGCCTGCTTCAGATTCTGTGTCTCCCTCTCTCTCTGCCCTTCCCCCGCTTGCACTGTGTCGCTCTCAAAAATAAGTAAACGTTAAAAAAAAGAGAGAGAAATGCCAATTCTCAGGTCCAAGCCCAGGGCTAAGGAATCAAATTCTGGGGGTAGGGCCCAGCAGCTTGTTTGACAAACCCTGCAGGTGATTCTGATCTGTGCACTTGAGAACCGCCACTCTCTTTTCTTTTTTTTTTTTTTTTTTTTTTTTTTTTTTTTTTTGAGAACTGCCATTCTAAATCCCCCAGTTCAGGTTGTGGACTTTATCTTTTCCCATCTGCAAATTCCTTTCCTTCAGAGGTCTGCGTTAGTGATTACACAGGTCTTTGTGAGAGGACCTGATGTCTGGCTCCCCTGACAGAGCAGAGCACAGGGGTCACTCATTATTTGCTCCTCACTCCTTCTAGCACCTACCCCCATGCCTGGCAGGTACCGAGAGCTTAGGAGATGGGGGTTGGGCGGATATTGACTCCAGGTGGTCATGGACTTCCCTGGGTGTGGGAGAGGGGAAGAGACTGGTCACTTTATAGATCTCAGACCCTAAAAGTGGCCAAGGGGAGGATGAGAAGCCTTAAGAAATTTGGGGAGGTCTCAGCCCTTGCAGAAAAGTGTGCTACTGAGAAGTCAGGGAAAGGGTAGCCAGAGCTTTTCCTCCCTCTTCCCCTCCCCACCCCTCCCTCCTGCACCCTAAGGTAGCCCTCAGCTGATTTGTATTGACCACTGCAGCAGGCCCTGTTTTAGGGGCTTTATGTATTTTATATCCTTTAATACAGAAAGCTTCTGAATTATATATCATTAACATTCCTATTTTACAGACAGGGAAACTGAAAACTCTGAGGTTCAGGTACTTGGCTGAAGTCAGGCAGGGAGGATTTGAACCTAGGCTATGTGACTGTTGCACTGCCCCTCCCCCTTCCCTATCAATGCTGAGAACACTCAGAACAGCAGGAGTGCATATCGGATTGTGGATCCGTGAGGTGGAGGCTCCAGTGTTATGAGACTTTCCCAAATTTTCAAGAGTAACCAAAAATGTAGATTTTTAATATACAGTCTCCCTGTTTCTCAATGATTATGTATTTAAAAACATTTTTAAAATATTTTTTAGAGAGAGAAAGACAGAGCGTGAGTGGGGGAGGGGCAGAGAGAGAGGGAGACATAGAATCTGAAGCAGGCTCCAGGCTCTCAGCACAGAGCCCCATGCGGGGCTCAAACTCACGAACCAGGAGATCACGACCTGAACTGAAGTCGGATGCTTAACCTGACTGAGCCACCCAGGCACCCCAAAATCATTATGTATTTTAAAAAACTCAGATGTTCCCAGAGACCAGATAAACGTGGGTGTCAGATGGCATTGGTAGCCAAATGAATGGCAACAGAGACAAACAGATACCCCAATGTGTGTATATGGTCTGACCTGGCTATGAACACTGTCCGAGCTGCTGTTTCTGCCATTTCTGGAATGGTCCACTTTAAACTCTAGGCCCGTCCTCTGTGAGACGTGATTGCACTAGGGGCAGACCCCTAATATTGACCTTTAGCTTCATGTGTCCCAGCCCTCGCATGGCCAGCACCCTATGGGTGAGGGCTGGGCTTGTCTGGTCACACTGTCCCCCTCCCACCCTGCATGCGGAAGGTGCTCACTAAATGCCTGCCGGTGGAAGGCATAGCACAAGCCCTTTCCCCTCTGAGCTCCCCCAACACCACACTGACTCCTCCCCATCCCATGCTCTGGGGGGTGGGGTGGCACGAGTGAGTTAAAAACCCGCAGCTGGGGGCCAAATGGGACGAAGCCCAAGCAGCTGCATGGCTACTGCTAGCCCTGTGAGTCCCCCTTCCTGCCCCTCGTGTAGCAGGGGACGGGGCTGGGGTGGCTGGGCTGGAGCTTGCTGTTCACCCTGATTTTTTTCTTTGGTCAGGTTGGAGAGGCTGAGGGTGGAATCCAAAACTGGGAGGAGAAGGAGGAGAAAGAGGAAGAGAAAGAGGGGGCAGTAGTGGCTGTCCTGATGGCTGAGGGGGCTCTGAATGCCCCTGGGGATCAGCTGTCCCAGAGGAGGAAGGAAGCCCAGGATGGGGGCCCCCAGGGGATCAAGTTGGAGTTACACCCGCTGCTGAACAGGTAAGGCAGGCTTTGTGGCCTTGCACCCGGCCTTGCTCTCTTGCCCCCACTCCCTCATCCAAGAAAGGTCAGAGCTAGCCTAAGACTTGGGCCCTGTTGGTTCTTCTGGCCTTAACCCATAGAGATTCTGGCTTCAATTCCCCCATCCTGTCCTAGCCTTTCAGGATCACTGACTCCAGTCACCGTGCAGAGGCCGTGCCTAACTCCCATCTCCTTATTTATACTTGAAGGGGTGGGACTTCCCTGCCAGCACCTGCTGCAGGTTCTGGGCCTGGGAGGGGCTCGCTGCTTCCTCCTGGCCTCTCCTATACCCAGGTGGGCTCTATGGTTCTTCAAGAATGACCGCAGCCGAGCCTGGCAGGACAACCTGCATCTGGTCACCAAGTTTGACACCGTGGAGGACTTTTGGGCGTGAGTGTCTGTTGCTTGTAGAGAAGGCCAGAGCCAGGGGGGTCCTTCCTAGACCCTACCCCTCCAGGGAGCTGTTTCCTACACCGCTTTCCAGCCCTCCCTGCGACCTCTCAGCATTTGCTGAGGGCTGGGGCTTGGTGGGTTCTGCTTGGGGGTGGGGGTCACTGGGACTAGGATCTAGGCCCCCCTGAAAACTTCTTGGGGCTTAGGGAAGAGAGTCTCAGGGGAGGAGCTGAGACGCCAGAACAGCATGGAAGCTTGTGTGTGTGTGTGTGTGTGTGTGTGTGTGTGTGTGTTGCGTCCATGAAATACAGCCAGATCAACACCAAACCATCCTGCACACCTGGAAGAGAGTCTGAGAGGCGGGAGGAGCCAGGAGTTAACCCTGACTCTGCCACTCCTTGGCTTTGTGACTCTGGACAAGTTCTTTCCCCTCTCTGAGCTGGTCTCAGCCACAAAGTGAGGATTAGGCTGCTTGATAGTGTCCATGGGTGAATCCCAAAAACACCCCCTGCCCCGGCACTGGGGCTCTAAAAGCCTCCTGAGGGGTTTGGATGGTCAGGGAAGGCTCCAGGGAGAAGGTGGGATTTGACGGTTTGGGTAAGTAGAGATAGAAGGGGGCAAGGGGTTGGTGAGAAGGGTGAGTGAGCAAAGGCTTGGAGGCCTGAAGGTGGGTGGAAAACAGTGGGGTCTGGTAAGAAGTTGGGGCAGTGAGGCAGGTTGGAACCAGGCCTTAAAAAGTCTGGACTTTCAGCCTGGATTGGGGCGGGGTGGGGGGCTCTCTCCAGGATGTACAGTCACATCCAGCTGGCCAGTAAGCTCTCTTCTGGCTGTGACTACGCCCTGTTCAAGGTAAGCTCTGCCCACCTGCCCCCTCAGGCCACAGGAGGGCTGATTCTCCTCAGCTCAGCTTCTGCATTCCTCCCTCATGGAGAGTTTGGGGGTGGGGTGCCACAGACAGCCTTCCTCAGAGCCAAGGTGGGACTTCCAATCTGAGGAAATGCTATATACAGAAGCTTGGGTAGAGTGTCAGACTAGAGCTGTACTTATAGGACATTTATGAGTCTGGAAGGGGAGAGGGGAGAAGGGGGAACCAAGAAGGAGCCCAGGTTTCTGGCCTGGCTCCTGAACTAGGCATATGCATCAGAATTGCCCGAGGACACTCCTCATCAGTGTCCAGGCCCATCCCTGGAAGTGCTGACCTAGCAGGTGTGTGCTGTGGGGCCCTGACATCAGTGTTTAAAGACTTCCCCAGGGGGTCTGTGCCCAGCCTGGGATGTCTGGTCTTCCACACACTAGGGTAGCCCCAGAGGCTTCCTTAATCAACCCTCCCCCTTTTGAACTCCTGCCTCAAGGAGCTCAGTTCAGTAAAAGAGACAAACATACACATATATATGACAAGGCTACAAAAGATGACCAGTGTTGAGGATCAGGGGATTGTGGGAGCTCATAGGAGGGTATGGGGGGTCGAGTGGCTGATGGTGGAAGCTGCCCATACAGAGGGAATGGAAGCAAGAGGGAACTTAGCCTACTGAGGCTTATTTAGGGGTCAGAGCAGCGCCTGGGAAGATGGTTGGGTCCCCACTTTGAAGAAAGGGAGGCAGTTGATTTGTCATTCCACCTCTTAGGATGGCATTGAGCCCATGTGGGAAGATAGCAGGAATAAGAGGGGTGGCCGCTGGCTGGTCAGTCTTGCCAAGCAGCAGCGTCACAGTGAGCTGGACCGCCTGTGGCTGGAGACCGTGAGTGGAGGTTGGGAGGGGAGGGAAGGAGGGGGAGGTCCCCAAGAGAAGAGGCTGGCTGGTGTGGTGGCACCATCAAGGATAGTGGGGCAGTCCCTGTAACTGAGGTGGAGGTCTCACCATCCTTCCTTTTGGCCCCAGCTGCTCTGTCTGATCGGGGAGAGCTTTGAGGAGCACAGCCGGGAGGTGTGTGGGGCTGTCATCAACATCCGAACCAAGGGAGACAAGATTGCTGTGTGGACCAGGGAGGCAGAGAACCAGGCGGGCGTGCTGCACATTGGGTGAGTGATATCTCTGGCACAGGGTCTCTTCCAGGGGAGAAGTTGAGGGTGGTGTGGCTTGGCCTGTGAGGGAGACCTCTGGAACTCTCCATGTCAGCTCCTCCTTTTTCCTTACCCATGTATATGAGGGTTTGGAATCCAGATTTCAAGCTGTTTCCAGCAGAACTCTTTTCTTTTGCGTAAAGAGTCCTATTTTGGGTTTCCACATGGGTAAGATGTCACAAGAGTGATGGTGGCTGGAACTAGGGTAGGACGTATGGGCAAAGGACCCAGGGTCCCAGGTGATCTCCAGCACTTGCTGCTATTTAATTTCCTCTCCTACTCCTCCCCCAGGCGTGTGTACAAAGAGCGCCTGGGCCTGTCCACGAAGATCGTCATTGGGTACCAGGCCCATGCAGACACTGCCACCAAGAGCAACTCCCTAGCCAAGAATAAGTTTGTGGTGTGATTCAGCTGCTTCTGAGCCTCTCACTCTGTGTGTGTGTGTGTGTGTGTGTGTGTGTGTGTGTGTGTGTGTGTGTGTGTGTGTAAGGGGATGCTGGGCTACAGTGCTGATGCTGGGTAGGACTAGGGGGTAGAGAACCAGGTTCTCACTTGTCCTGGAGTGAATATGAACATTGCTTAACATGAGTTGGGGCCTAGGCATAGATCTGTGGTCAGGGAGCCATCCTGAGGATGCAGAACAGGTGGAGGAAAGCCTTGAGTTTCCTTGTTTCACCTGGGGGTGGGCTGGGGTGAGTCACTGGGGAAAGGAGAGCTCAGATGAAGGTGGAAAGATGGCAAGAGAACCCTACAATCCAGCACTTACTCTCTCTGCACCCCTGAGAAAGAGGCTGGGTGACCTGAGGGCCAGACTCTTCTGATTTGGGGGAGCAGGCCCAAGACCACTGACACTCTGAGAGCAGGAGCTCAAGGACAGGAGGGGGATGGGCTTTCCTCTTTGTAATCACTCTACTTTAAACCTTTATGAATTGCCTTTCATCAGATTTATAGCCTTGGAGCCTCCCCAGTATCCTGTACCTTCCCTCAAGCAGCCGTGGGTGGGGCCTCGGAAGTGGGGTTGTAGATCAAAAGGGTTGGAGGCTTACAGGCAGAACCCCACTATCTCACAGACATGTGGTGAGCTAAGGACTGAGAGCCCTGTGTGTCTACTTGTCCTTTCCTCAGCTGTGGCCAGGGCTGTCTGGGCCTTGCCTGCCTCAGAGTCAGGCTGAATGGAGGCGGGTAGATAGATGACACAGGAGACAGGACAGTGGTGGTTAGGTTTGAGACGGATTAACTGGAAGGTGATGAAGTTTAAGCCCCTTTCTGTTCCTGCTCCAAATAAACACTCACTTCTGAATTATTAGAATTATTAGAATTATTTTTGAGGGTTCTAAAATTGAGTAAGATTTGGGCCCCCCAAAACCTTAATCTCCTGTCCTGCCTTGAGGGGCACGTGTGAGACCCCCTCCCCCCCCAGGGCCCAATCAGTGATCCATCTAGTATGGGGAGAGGGGTAAGATGGGAAGAGTCAGCGAGGTTTCAATGTCAGAGGGTCATTGAGCCAGGGGGTCGAGTATATGCCCCTGGCAAAACTGAAGTGTCGGGGAGCAGAGGCCGCGGCCCTCACAAGACCTAGATGTCATCAGGCCTGAGTTTGAGCCAATGTAGGCAGTTAATTTCCGTTGAGTGAAAAGTGCGTCTGCTTCGATTACACTGTAATAAAACGTCCTGTGTTTTAAAAACACGATCCATATCGCCATCCCCATCTGCTCATTAGAGCATCAGTTACTCTTCTCCAGGACTGAGTTCCAACAGCAAGGCTGGGTACGAAGTGGCGCTGGTACTGTGCCTGGTGGGGTGGGAGTAATGAGGATGTTTCGTACCTGCGACTTGCGGTGCCATCATCAAGCTTCTCAGGTCCGTAGGACGCTGGGGGGGGGGGGAGGGAGGAGGATAAGAGAACGCTGTCGGCGCTCGGGGCGGAGTCAGACCTAGAGGCGGGGTTCCGAGTCGGGCAGAGGGGCGGGGCCTGCCTGGGGCGGGGCCTGCCTGGGGCGGGGCCTGCCTGGGGCGGGGCCTGCCTGGGGCGGAACCTGCCTGGGGCGGAACCTGCCTGGGGCGGAACCTGTCTGGGGCGGAGCCCGGAGGTCACAGACTCAGGCCTAGAGGCGGGGCTCCGAGGGCACTGAGTAGGACGGAGGCGGAGTCAGGCCTAGAGGCGGCGGGGCTTTGAGGGAACTGAACGCGCTGGGAGCTAGGCGGTCGGGGCGCCGGGGGCGGTCCCTGCGGGGCGGGCGGGACCCGACCGGCTCTCTGTGTGGCCGCGGCCATGAAGCCGCAGCCGCCGGGCTAGGCCCCGGGCGGCTCTAGCCCAGGGCGGCCCGTGGAGGGCCGGGCCAGCCCCAGCTCCGGTCCCAGGCCGGCGGGCGACTGCTCACCATGCCGGGCAAGCACCAGCACTTCCAGGAACCCGAGGTCGGCTGCTGCGGGAAATACTTCCTGTTTGGCTTCAACATTGTCTTCTGGGTGAGAGCGGGGTGGGTTTGGGCCCCGTGCTGAATTCAGGTGGCGGGAGAAGGAGGTTCAAGCCCCTATTGCAGGGGCTGGGGGGAGGGAGGGGGACGGTCCCAAATCCTGAAGGCAGAGAGCGGTCTTTCCCCCCCATCTCCCCCCAGCCCCCATCTCTTTTTCCCACTCCACGCCCACTCCCAGGACCACTCCGGGGAACTACGGAGAGTCCCGGATTGCTGGAGGCGGGTCCCAGGCGCAGCCGGGGTAGGATGTGGGGGTGGAGTCTCCTGGTATCTTCCAGAGTCCAGGTGGAGAAAGGGGAAGGGTCCCAGGGATGCTCTTGGTGCCCCGTCGCCCATTCTCCCATCCAGCCTCACTGCTACTCTGGGGTGTGGGGTGTTCGCTGAACTCCACCCCTGTTTAGCCCACCGAGGGGAGTGTCTCCGCGAAGGGAAGGGCCGGATTCCCTCACCCAGCCTTAAGCTCCTTTGGGGGGGGGGGGAGCGGGGAAGGGGTGGTGTGTGGGTCTTGCTCCTCAGTGAGGAGGCTTGCAGGCTGGGGGAGGGCAATAGCTCTAGTCCTCTGCTGGGGGCAGGAGATCTGCCCTATTGAGACGTCCTGAGGTGGCCCTGGGGAACAGAATTCAACATTCTACAGCTGACAAAACCGAGGTTTCGCAGGCAGTTGCTGCCCCTGCCAGAGAAGGGAGCTTCAAGTGCCCTTCCCCGGGTGGCATCTGTGCCCCCAGGGCCCTGCCAAGTCATCTTCCCTTCTCCCTCCCCCATCCCGTCTCCAAGGCTGCTTGCTGCCTCTGCAGTCTCTGCTCCTGCTGCCTTGTGTTAAAATGCCGGGCCCATTCTGTCTTTCAGCAAGACTTTGGCACCACCCTCCACCCACGTGCTGCCCATGCAGTCGCCCCTGTGTGGTGGGCCTTCTGGTTCCAGCAATGCTCAGCTCTCCAGGGTGTGGGCAATGTGCAGAGAGTACTGGTGGGGAAGTCTGGAGGCCTGGGTGTAGCAAGCAGAGCTCTGAGACTGGGCAAGTCACTTCTCTCTGGACCTCAGCTTCCCTTCCTGGGAGTGGGGATAATGAAGCCTGCCCCTCAGGGTTGTTAGGCCCATTAAATAAATTCTAACTTGTATTCACACAGCTATTTTATTTATTATCTATATTTTATAGATGAGGGAACAGGCACAGAGATGTTAAGTCATTTAACCTAGAAGGACAGGGCCAGTAAGCACAGAGCCAAGAGGGCAGTGGGTAGAGGTGAGGCAGAGCATTGAGCATAGTGAGTCCCACCCCCCTCCCCCCAACCCCCCATGTCAAGGGGGACAGGCAAGAGAAACTCAGGCTCTTTGCAGGCACACCAAGTTTTGCAGGGGAGTGGGGGTGGGGAGCCAGAGCAGGAAAGGCTGGGCTGGTGCTTGAATTTTATGTTGAGGGCAATGTAGAGCAGTGAGGGTTTCAGCGCTGGATAATGGGTCTGCTTTGGCTTTTGTACTAGAGGCAGATCTGTCTGGCTGCATGGGGAGAGTGGGTGAGGGGCATGGGGCTTGGAAGTGGGAGACCTAGGAGGAGGGCTGGGTCACAGCTAGGGGCTGGGGAGTGGGAAGTGAGGAAGGCTCCAGGGGAAGTTAGGAGGCTGAATTGACAGGACCGGGACGCTTGGAGGGCCAAGAGGGTTTCAGGTTTGGGTCAAGGTGGCTGGAGGGAGGTGCCTATCATATAGGCCCCAAGATTTTTGTTTGTTTGTTTTAAAGGAAAGCAGACCCTGGTTGTTACCCTGCTGAGAACCTTCCCACAATTAATACAGTCCAGACTCCTCCCATGGCCTCCAGCACTCTCTGGAGTCTGGCCCTGCTGCCCTTCAGTTTATCCCTCGCACCACCAAACATGATCTTACCTCTGGACCTCTGCCAGTCCCTCCACCTGGAATTTCCTTCTCACTACACTTTTTTGCTATTTAGACCTCAGCTAAAATATCCCCATTTTCCCTAACTGAAGCATGCCTCCACAACCCCCAGTCACTCCCCACTGCATCACTGTTTGGTTTTCTTTAAAGGATCTGTTGGTATCTGAAATTACCTTGTTTGCTCACTGTGGATTTCTCCCACTGGAGTGTAAACTCCATGAGGGCAGAGAGCTCATTTGTTCTATTTTCTGATGTATTCCCAGCACACGGAACAGGGCCTGGGACTTGGAGGTGTTTGTAGCAGGCAGTTGGACATAGGAGTCTGGAGCCAGGGAGAGGTTTGGGTGGAGATCTGGGAGATGTCGGCATCTGATGGTGCGGATAATAAGTGTGGAGGAGGAAGAAAGCAGAAGGCTGAAGGTTAAACCTGGGGGGGGGGGGGGGGGCGGCCATGTGCATAGGGCAGGTGAAGCAGTGAATCCTGGGAGGGAGGCTGAGAAGGAGCAGAGAGAGGATTGGTGTTGGGTAACCAAGGAGGGGTTCAGAAAGGAGAAAGTAGTAGTCAGTCACCTGTCTAAAGGCCATGGGTGGGTCAAATGGGATGAGGCGGGAGAAGTGATGTTTGGTTTCACATTCCAGATCTAGTATAGAGGTGAGGGGAAGGAAAGCTATTTCCAGAGAAGAATACAGCAGTGGGAGGAGTGTGGGGTCAGAGAGAGGAAGGTGTTAAACTGGGTGATCATGGTGGAATTGACTGGAATTGGTGGGGGGAAGGGGAGGAGCCTATGAAAGCAGGTGGGTGGGGAAGGTCTGAAGAGGTGGGGTCACGGCCTTGTGCTGGCTGGGGCAGGAGGGACACTCTTCCTGTGAGATTGAACATCCGGGGAGCTGCCCAGTCTCAGGTTGATAGCCTTGACATCCAGGGCTCTTCCCAGTAAGGAACAGGCCGGATGGTGGGTTGTGCTTAGAAGGCCCAGGCAGAACTGTGGCCAGAAGTTTTCAAGGGCACAGCCACCAGCCCAGACTAGGGTCCCTCAGCTGGATCCTGCTCACATTGGGATTCCTTGTCATTCAGGGGTCTTTGCTTATGAGCTATGAAAACAGAAAATGGAGTAGGGCAACCATCACAGAGTTGGAGGGCAGTGGAATGGCCAGATTGGGAAGGAGCAGAAAGGAGGGTAGGAGCCCAGAACTCAGACAGGTCTGGTGGCAGGAGAGGCTCAGGACATAGCTGCTGCTGCTGCTGCTGCTTGGCAGGAGTATCCTGGCCATCCTCTGCTCCAGTTCTGAGTTCTGGGAAGGACTAAGGTGGGTTCCATCCTCCAGGCTGTGTTTTGTGGGGGAGAAACACTGGAATGTATTCTTGGAAAGGTAGAAAGGACCCTGG